ATAGTAAAAAAAGATCAAAACCGTTATAACAAAATTTTTTAAAACTATTTAAGAATGCTGTTTTTTAAATAATCTAAATTTAGAATACATTTAAATGTCGGAAAACAATTGTCATAATTGCAGTTAAATTAAATTTAACGTCAGTTAATGATATATTTACTGTATGATTATATATATTTACTGAATGATTTATAATTATAATATAGTTATTGTTAATAAAAATAATAAAGTTATTGTTTTCCGCCGTCAAATATGTCTATTTGATCTAACACAGACACTTTTGATTAAACATTCAATTTTGAATTTAAAGATTAAATTGCAACAGCTCCTTGTGTAAATTTACATGGTAAAATTTAATACAATTAAAAGTAAAATCAAAATAGGTTTTTGCAGAGGTGATTTTACGAATAAATTGAGGGCGGGGGAGGGGTGGTGAATCCTAAAAAAGTCCTACAGGCACCTAAAAAAAAAAAAAAGTCCACAAAATGAAAATTTACTCAACTGAAATGTGTTAAATACCCAACTAGCCGACTAAACTCGTAAAAAAACCGACTATAAAATAGTTAAAAAAATAACAAAAATCAGACATAGTTAAAAAAATCAAAACCGCTATAACGGTTTTTTTTTTAACTATTTAAAATCCCTGTTTTTCAAATGCGACAAGTATATTCTAAATTTAGAATACATTTAAACGTCGGAATACAATTGTCAAATATGCAGTTAAATTAGATTTTACGTCAGTTAATAATATACTAGCAGTAAGCAACCCGTAATACGCGTTGTTAGTAAATAAAATTAAAAAAAAAACCGCGTATAGAAAAGCCTAGAAACTACTTTAAAATAGAAAAGCCTAGAAAATGACGTAACTTGACTAATAATAATATTAAATTAGCGTATTCATATTATCAGATTTACTGATTGTGACAAAGTATGATTTAAAATTACAATAAGCTATTGTTTTCTGCCGTAATTGTTTTTCTTTTAATTTATTTCCGGATACAGTTTATATATTCTCTTGTTTTAAAAATAAACTATTTAGCAAAAAATTACAGGGATAATGTTTTTAATGTTTCTTCTCCTCATGAATATCATACTCAGTTTATATTAGGCATTTTGTTCTTAAATAATTTTAGTAATAATTTATTCTTCAATAATTTAGAAATAATTTATTTTTTAATAATTAAGTAATATGCCTATTTGATCTAATCCAAATTTCATTGAACATTCAATTTATCAGTGAAAAGAGCTGAAACTGAGATCTTATGATAAAATAAAAACTAATTCCAGACTTATTTTATAACATTTTTACAATAAAGAAGAAATATATACAGTATACAGTTAGTAACTATAGCATTATGGTACTATTTTACAAAGTGTTGTTTTATTTGTTTAAACTTTGACTCAAAAAGAGTGCTATAAAATTCCAGATCATCGCCAATAAAATATTTAACTATTAGTTTAAGGTCATTGATTGGAGGTCATTTATCCGAAAGATAAATGAAAGAAAAAACATGAAGGTCATTTATCTGAAAGCAAAAAACTTGAATCATTTATTATTGCAGGGATTTTTTAATTTTCTTTCATTTTTAACTTTAACTTTCCCATTAATCTTTTTTTAAGGAGTAATTTTCACCAATCTCTTTTTATATGTCGGATATGAAAAAAACAGTAGCCATTTTTTACGATTATTTTGTTTTCGAAGTCCTCTTTGCACATTTTTGCACGAATACTGTACAGCATGCTGAGAGAAAAATTCTATACAAACCGTGTTGTGCCGCAGTAAAATATCCTGCCGCAAACATTAATAAATGCAATCTCAGTTTACACGTTTAAAAATCGCCTGGATAAATATTTAAATCGGTAAAAGAAAAACATAAAAGCCTAATGTCATTTTAATTTATATTTACGGTATGTTACTTGTGTTACAGATGTGCACGAGCACCGAAGATTGTCAATAAAAAAGTGCCTGATATAGCACATCTTTTTTGATAAATTTTAAACAAAAAGCAGCAAACTGTTTTTTTTATTTTTCAAAATTTGAAACATTCTTATGGATAGTTGTAAATATTGACAACTGAAATAAACTAAACTAAACAACTTGTATAATTTTCAATTCTACTTCAGAAGGTTATTTCGATAAATATCAGTAATTTAAATATGTCAAAAAGATAAACAACCCTTTTACTTTATTCAAATACTTTATAATATACTATATTATAAATTCAATACTTTAACCCCAAAGATATATAAAATAATCAAATCCCACAAATATTTCCTTTGATTTTAAAGTGCCAAACTAAATGCATTAAAAATTGAACCTTTTTTAGGTTGATCTCTGGGTAAAATTGCGCAAGCAACCTATACATTTTAGTTGCACTCAATGATAAAAAATATTTTTTTCTTATGTTCTATCAACAACTGTGTGATTCAACCGTAGGAAAACTATTAATACCTTTTTTGACCTTACTTAAAACTATATTAGAAATTTTCATAGAGGACCTTGGTAAGCCACTTAAATTGTTTACTAATATCTAAATTTTTTAAAAAATATATTTTACAAACTCTGCTACTGACACAGTGGCGAAATAAGACTTCTTGGGGCCCGGGGCTATTTTTGTTTTTGGAGGTCTTTTTATGGGCAAGAGCCCAAAAATGACTAAAAAAAAAATTAAAAAAATGTCAATACAGTGCCGGATCAAGGGGGGGGGGGGAAATAGCCCCCCTTGATCCGGCACTGTATTGGCATTATTCTTTTCAAAATGATATTTAAATACACATTTCTTATTTCTTTTTTTTTTCTTTTTTTTTCATTTACTCCTCTACCTTTTTTTTGCATTCCCACATTTTTCTTTTTTAGTGTTTTTTAAGTTCATAAAATTAGAATGTATTACTTCTTTTTCATTTGCACTAAATACTTTAAAACATTTTAGTTTACACGATGGAAAACGAGTACACCTTACTTTACACCTTAATAACTGTATTTTACTAAACATCGCAAAAAATGTACAATAAAGTAATAAATAAACAAATAAATAAGTAATAAAAGATAAAAATTAAGTACAAACTATTTACTTATAAAATTTTTTTTTCTCTCCACATTTTAGTTTAAATTTTTTTATTTACTTGACGAAGATATAATGAAATAGTACATTACTGTGAAAAAAACTACTTCAAAATAATGTAATTGATACAGAGGCAGATCCAGCATTTTTTTGGTATTTGAGATAACTTACTTTCTGACGCCAAACATTTATATGTTTATACATGTCAAATAAGTATGCTTGGCTAAAAATTTCTATGAATGGAGCCATGGAACAAAAAAGCCTTAAAATTTTGGCCACAACTGCCCCAAACGTGAGAGCAACAAGTTGATAAAATATATATTTTTTTTTACTATTCTTAACTAAAGTTATATTCATCAATAAATTTTTATTTAAATAGATGCGAGAATAGAGACAGGAATGTTCGTATTTACGAGTAAATTAAAAATGTAAAGACTGTTAGAATATTTTTAATTTTAATGAATATTAAAATAATGCTCGAAAGTTCCAAAAAGTATCGCAATTTTATATAAGGCGCGAACTCGTTTAGATAAAAATAATTTAACTAAACTTTATTACAATTTTATTCATAGTTATAAAAGTTATGGAGTTATTTCCTGGGGTAGCACTGATCAAAGCTTGTTATAATGTCTCTATCGCCGTCAGAAACATGCGATTCGTTTAAATAATTCTGCCGATCGGTTCGCACATTCCTTAATATTTTTTAATCAAATAAAAATCCTCGCTATATATAAACTAAACATATATGAAAAATTATCTTTTGTTTATATGTAGATGTATGATTTATCTCCTTTAATTTTTAAAGACCTTTTTATTTTGAAACCATTAAGCAAGTTTAACTTGAGGAACAATAATTATTTAAATGAACCCCTCTGTCGAACAAAATTCTATCAATTTTATATCACTTATCGTGCAGCTCATCTCTGGAAAAAATTTATTTTTATTTATCTAAGTACGATTTAATGTTTTTATGTTATTTTTTAGGTACTCTTTTTGAAAAAACGTTTTTTCATAATATTTTGCGTACTCTCTTTTGTAAAAGGCTTCTGACGATAAGATCGTTGTGATTCTCTTTTAGAAGCCTTGTTTGTATTTAAAAAATATGTCATTTGTATATATTACGTCAAATGTAAACAAAACTGTTAAAAAAAAAAAAAAATAACTTAGCGATTGATCCTCCTTTAACAAATGGTACCTCCACCAAAACAAAAATGTCTAAGGGGTCGTCCACGCATAGAGGGGTTGGGGTTGGTGAAAAGGGTTAGGGGTTTTGTGACGACTCATATGGAACTTTTTACTAAAGAGCTACAATGTTGTGAGAAGGGGGAGGGGTCAAAAACAGTCAAAAATTACGTGACGTAATTTGTGGACGACCCCTTACAGAAGACACCTTACCAATTTAAATCAATAATCAAAAATCGAGCTAGCTCCGCTATATTAATACTATTATTGAATGTTAAGAACCGAATTTAAACGAAGAGAAATTCAGAAAACTTAAAAAACTTAATTTTTTATTCCAGCTCTCCTGGTAATAAACTCACACTACCCCAAGGGCGGATCCATAAGGGGAGGGGATTGAGGCGACCGCCCCTCCCTTCTTAGATGTTTTTAAAATTTATATTTTTGTAAGTTTATATATTAAACACAGCAAGTTGATTGAAAACGGAAATAATATAGTCAGGTTGTCTAAATAAAATTACAATTTTAATAAAATTCAAAATTGTATGATTGCTTGCTTACAAATCATTATTTTTGAAAATTGCCTCCCCCTTCCCCCGCCTTACTAGATCGTCTGCATCCGCCCCCCATACAACATGGTCTTAATCCGCCCTTGCACAAACCTCCCTCGTTTATTTAATTTAAGAATTTCTAACCCTCCCGTTTATTAAGACCCACCCCATTGTCACTTTATCGTCTATGATTTGTCTCCTAAACTCAGGAAAACTTTTCTTAGGCATAAGCAAAGGTTTCATGAGTACAGGAGATTTTACATAATCATATAAAATAATGAGACAGAGTGAAATGAAAATATAAACAGAGTAAAAGAAGAGAGGTAAAAGTATGTTACAACGCGCACAATACATCAAATTTAGGTTTATCAAAATAAGATTAAATGTAACGCCAGTTTGCACTTAGCAAACAAAAACATAAAATTATTTGACATCAGGGAGTCAGGAAAGACTTACCTTGAAGAAAATGTACTGCGTTGCAAAAGCAGATATATTTGTAACTAGTTTTTTTCTCCATTGAGTTTTGTTTTGTTCCAAATTATTCACAAAAAAACAAAACAAAATAAAGATTATAAAATTATGAATTATTTGTTTGAGCATGTTTTTAAGTTCAAGTGCAACATTGAATTTTGTTTTTCTCGATTACCTTAGCAATTAAATCGATTTAAGTGAAAATTTAACTATGCTAAGAGTTTAAATGCTTTATTTATGCAAGAAGTTAAATCAATTTCGATTTGTAAACAGTTGAATTATTTAAATTTAATTTGATTAAATTGATAGTTTTAGTTTTTTTATTTATGCAAGAATTATTTTTTTTTTATCTATTGTCTCAAAATCATCAACAAGTAGTTGTTTTATCGTCAATAAGATGCAGTAACTATTTATACTGGTGATGCATATTTCATTTATTAAGATAGATCTTTTAAAGATTTTC